GAGAGAGAGGGAAGGGAGGAGGAAGGGCAACGCCACAGTAACCAGAAGGCACATTAGTTGTGGATGTGGATGCAGCCACATGTGGCTCCCCACTTAGTCTCCCCGGCACCTAGCTCATTGTGAATGAGTGGATGGACGAATGGATGGATGGATGAACAAGCTACTGAGGAAGGTACAGTGGTGTCACTGAACGAGATGGCGTGTGCAAAGCCCCTGGTATATGCCCGGTACACAGCCTCGGCAAGCGCGCCTCCCTGCCTGCTGCCTCTCCCACACTCTCACTGACACACGGTAACAGAGAAGACTTAGTTCAGAAATTCTGGCCATTTCTTGGTTCTTTCACTTCCTGACTCGTGATCTTGGCAAGTCACTTAAGGTCCCTGAGCCTCAATTTCCTCATCTAAAAGGGGAGTAATGGGATGGCAAGGCGGCCGAGGGCCCAGCGGAATGGATGGAGAGCTTGGAAAGAGCAGAGCGTGGTTCGTAACGTCACCCCCGGACTCGGCGCCCAGCGCTGTCAGCGTGATCCACTGCAGATCTCAACCCCAACCTGGTGTGCCCTGGCCACGGCGGCCCTGCTGCCCTCCCTGCCCTGCCTCCACCACCGCTCCGTGATGACATTCACAGAGGCTCCACGGAGGCCCAGCACCCGGGCTTGGCCCGCTCCAGCCACCTGGCCTGCCATCTCCTTCTGTCCATTAAGCTCCAATCCAGATTTCTCTCTTTCAATTAAGCCACTTGGCCTTAAGGCCTCTGCCCCTCGAGCCCTGATTTGCACAAACACTCCCGAACGCCTTTGATTAGAAAGGAAAGCCAGCATTTGGTACAAGGGCTGCTCAGCTCCGCCCGAGTGCAGCAGGGAGGAAGCCAGCTGAACTCAGCGCTGTTTCCTGAGACACTGGAGACAGGCTCGCTGGGGAGGAGACGGCAGGCCGGCCCCTTCCAGGGCTTGGCAGCCGCAGGTGCCCAGCCCTGAAGAAGCTGCCCCTCATCACCGTTGGCTCGTGTCTCCCCTGGCTTGCCTGTGCATTCCTGTGCCAGTCACAGCTTATGAACCCCCTACCCCTGGGGTGGGGACACTGGGGCTTGCCAGGACTGCATGCCAGCCTCGTGTGAGAGAAAGGAGGGGTGCCAGGACTGCCCCTTGGAGGCCGTACCCCCTGTCACTGTGGCCCAGCCCTGCCCTCAACGTACGTGCGCGTGCACTCCACTCCATAAAACTCTCTAGTTACGAGGAAGTGTTTGGAAGGGGCCTCCGACAGCTTCTTTCTCGTGCAGCTGTTCATACTTCTTGTGACTCACAAATCCCTTTGAGAATCTACTGGAAGCCACTAGCCCCTTTCCCCATGAAAATGCATGTATATGCCAAATTTTTAATGATCTTCAGGGTCACTCTGAACCCTTGAAGCTTCCAGTAGACTGAGATTAAGAATTTCTGATCTAGTCCAGCCACTTTGTTTTACTATAGATGAAGCCACTCAGGTCCCAAGAGGGCAAGTAACTAGCCTGTGGTGACAGCGCAGATGAGTTAGCAGAGCCCGGACTCCCAGCTCTGAGCCCTTTACACTCTCAGGGTGACGTTGCCCTTCCCTTTCTCCCCATGGCCCCCTTCCCTGCCAGGCCTCTCTCAGGGCCCAGCACAGACCCAAACACAAACAGCACAGCTCAGGTAGCGTGGTTGCCAACCCCACGTAGCTGCTTCCCCCCGCAGGGCCAGGGTAAATGTGTCTGGTTTCAGAAACATGGACAGGGTTGGGTCAAGGATTGACGTGTCCTGTTCCAGTCTGTCACAAATGAGGAGCTGAGAAAAGTGTCCTCAGGCTACAGAACAAAGGACCTGAAACGTACCACTCCTCCAGGACCTTAGCTCTTCACACCATCTCCAGCCAACTCTTCCTGCTGTGCTCTGGAGCCCACCCTGCTCCCCAGTGCCATAGCGTCATATTCAGATTTCTTCCCCTAGTGTCTCTTCTGCACAGGACGAGCTCATTTCAGCACTGGGGCCATTGCTCTTGCCCTGTCCCCAGCTGGTGCATGACTGTGAGCCAGTCGGGAGGTGGACAGGACACTGGAGCGCCCTCTGTCTGCCCGGAGCCTGGGGCAGGGATCTTGTTCTGCCTCATCACTGTCTCTGCCCCCAGGACTGCAGTGCAACGCATCCGTGGACCTCATTGGCACCTGCTGGCCTCGGAGCCCCGCAGGACAGTTGGTGGTTCGGCCCTGCCCTGCCTTTTTCTACGGTGTCCGCTACAACACCACAAGTAAGGGAGAAGGGGGATCCACGGGAGGTGGGGCAGGTTGAGAAGAGCCAGAGGTGGGAGAAGTCATGGTAATGGCTATAGCAGTAATGCCTCTGCGTGCACGGCCGCTATCTGCAAGGCCAGCTCTGTGTTCTGCCGGGTACCCTGTGCTCATTCCTGCCGATTCCTCCAGACCCCTGGAAGATGCTGTGACCCATCTTATACCCGAGACCTCTGAGGCACAGAGAAGTCAGGAAGTTTGCCCGAGATCACCAGCTGATAGGGGTGACCGTGGAATTTGCATCCAGTTCTGTCTGGCACTTCTTCCTTCTGCTGACAAACTTCAGGAGCTTCCAACAACCCCGTGAGATAGGATAGGAATGATCAGAACAGCCACAACTTGGTGTGTGAGAACCCTGAGCTCAGAGAGGTCCCGAGGCCTGCCCAGGGCCCTCCAGCCAGAAGGCAGGAGACCCGGAGTTTCAGATGGGGTGGGGCGGAGTGACCCAGGGGTTTGTTCTGATACTCGATCCCCAGGTAAACAGCTCGCTCCCTGGAGGCCCCGGCCTCCACCACCAGGCTTTGCAGCTCCCTGCTATTCCACCTGCCACCCTTAGAATTAATTTGCTCTCCCTTGTCAATGACTCAGGAACCTGCTAATCATGGGAGCAGCAGCTGCAGGCCCAGGCCCTAACCTGTCCCAGGGAGAGTGCGGACCCAGGTCCCTGGGGTTGGGGTTCCCTGTCTGGTCCAAGGAGGAGTGTGAGAGCCCAGGCAGGACAGTGACTATGGCCCTTCCCTGAGAGGCGCTGGTGCAGGGCAAGAGGCTGTGACAGGCAGCCTCATGTGTCTGTGGAGACATCAGGACTGTGGGAAGGCCCAGAGGAGGAGGGGAAGCACCAGGAGGAGTGTGAGGACTAAGGGGAGAAAACAGGAGGAGGGGCCCAAGAGACTGAGTTAGAGGTGAGTTTGGGGGTGCATCCAATTAAGTTGGCCAGCGTCAAATTTAATAGGGCTCATTTCACAATAAGGATATTGAGGTATAGAGACTAATCACTTGCAACTTGCCCAAGAACACAGAACTTGAAGGCAGGATCAGAGGGCCTAGTGCTAGAGCCTGTCCACTGCCTGGAGTCCCAGGCCAGAGGCAGCACTGGACTGGCATATGGGAGTGGGTGGGGGCTTCCTGGAGGAGACACCAGGCCCTCTCAGCCCCACCTCCAAAGTGATCCTCATGTCTGACCTCACCTGCTCTCCTACCCAGTACCACTGCCACTGAGCTGGCACCCAGATCTCTACTCCTGGTTCCAGATCTGACCCTATCACACCCTCGCTTGGACTTAGTCTCTGGGTCTCCATGACCTGCATGATCAAGTCTGTGCTTCTGAGTGGGGCCTGAAGACTCTCTGTGGTCACATCCCTGTCTGTTCTCCACGAGCTCCCTCTGCTCTTCTCCCCAAGGGTAACTCAACACACCCAAATAAGCATTTCAGGCCTGAGTCTCTGGACATGCATTAGTTCATTTGCCAGCTCTGCCTTAAGTGGTCTCCGTCTCTCCACCTGCAGAGTGGAGGTTGGGGGGTGCCTTCTGGGCTCCCTCGCTCTACCCTCTGTGATCCCAGGAAAGGAGCTGAGGATGGTCCCTTGATGTGGGGTTGGCATTTCAGGGCAGAGCCAGAAGCCTGCCTTTCCCAGGTGCCCCCGTGCCAGATGACGATGAGAACACCCGTGCCATTGGTAGCGAGCAGGAACCCAGGGCTGTACCCAATTATTAGGCTCTAATTAATTCATTTACTGATGAGGTGCTTCCAGGACTTCTAGGCCTCATCCTCAGTGCCCTCCCTTCTGCTACATCCGATCTTCAAAGGGATGGGAAGCATTTCCAAAAATATCCACTTTCCCATGATTCTTTGGGAGGACTGCTCAGCTCAGCAATTAAAGACAAGGAGGTCGCATCCTCCCTGGCAACGATTCCCCAGTTGTTGGGCCTGTCTTCTTTCAGGATCACCTCCTCCTCCCCATCAAAGCCTACCCCTTCCCGATGACCCGGCCTCCCGGGGGGGG